CAATCAGTGGCTGTCTGGTCTAATTCAGGTCTCCTAGGTTTCAGCAGAACCCAGAGAGACTGCAGGGAGAACTGGGAAACTAGAAGGAAAAGCATGTTTATAATTTGGACTTGTACGTCCATTGGCTTTCCTAATATTTGAAGAAACTGACCGACTATTTCAAAACATCGACAGTCCTGGGGAAAAGATTTCACTCGGTGCCATTCTGTTTGCTGGAAAGCTGCTTCACATACTAATTTGTTTACTTCAAATCACTTTTAAGGTTGCTGCTTCTGAGGATCTGTCGCTACAAAATCAATGTACAAACAGCTATTTAAACAGCCTGTTACTAACAGCCAGAGGAAACAATAAATTACGAAACGCTGGTCACACCTTGAATTTTCCTGGCTCTCTATAACTCTGAATACAATAAAACAATGTAAATTCACTCACCTAAATAAATGCTAAGGACATTTCAAAACCAGATCTAAAATAATTTAGTTAATCTATCAGACAATGTCATCCTTGATATTCTCAACAAACGTGCAGAGATCCAACTTCTCGAACCTTCCTTCAGTTCTCTAAACCTGAATTTTCAGCTATAACAGGCTGATGCAAGCTAATCTGCCTACTTCACAAAACTAGCAGGAAACTGCAAATGAAATCAGAATGTTCGAAAGGGCTTGGGTGTTCAACTCCTACAGAAATATCAAGCGCCACAGGGGAAAAAGATTAGAATGCTCCTAAATACATGCCATCAAAAATGGATTCCTCTCATATTCAGCAATTAGACAAAGAGGAATTATATACCCTGCTGTGGGGACCCCCAACTAATCTGAGAGTTACTAAGACAATCTGTAGACTCCTGGAGTAAAGGAAGCAGCGAGGTGGCACACAATACTGACCACCCAGGCTCCTTATTTCACTCTAAACCAATCACAAAACGACAAATACCGTATGAGACCACTACTGTAAAAACTCATGAAATGGTTTACACACAAAAAGAAACAATCTTTGATGGTTACGCGGTGGGGGGTGGGGGGGACGCACTAAATAGACAATAGGTAAGTGGTAACTTTGGCGAAAGGTAAGACAGTACACAATACTGGGGAAGCCAGCACAACTTGTACAAGGCAAGGTCATGGAAGCTTCATAGACACATCTAAACTCCCTGAGGGACTGAATTGCTGGGGGAGGGCTGTGGGGACCATGGTCTCGGGGAACATCTAGCTCAGTTGGCATAACACAGTTTATAAAGACAATGTTCTACATTCTGCTTTGGTGAGTAGCATCTGGGGTCTTAAAAGCTTGTGACCGGCCATCTGAGATACTCCACTGGTCTCACCCCCTTGGGAGCAAGGGAGAATGAAGAGAACAGGATACAAGGAAAAGATTAGTCCAAAGGACTAATGGACCACAGCTACCACGGCCTCCACCAGACTGAGTCCACTACAGCTAGATGGTGCCCTGCTACCACCACTGACTGCTCTGACCGGAATCACAACAGAGGGTTCTGGACAGAGCTGGAGAAGGATGTGGAACAAAATTCTAACACACACAAAAACGACCAGATTTACTGGCCTAAAGGAGAATGGAGAAACCCTGAGAGTATGACCCCCAGACACCCTTTTAGCTCAGTAATGAAGTCACTCTCGAGGTTTACCCTTCAGTCAAAGATCAGACAGGCCCATAAAACAAAATGAGACTAAAGGGGCACACCAGTCCAGGGACAAGGACTAGAAGGCAGGAAGGGACAGGAAAGCTGGTAATAGGGAACCCAAGGTCACAAAGTTAGAGTGTTGACATGTCGCGGGGTTGTTAACCAATGTCATAAAACAATATGTGTACTAACAGTTTAACGAGAAGCTATTTGTTCTGTAAACCTTCATCTGAAGTACAGTAAAAATAAAATAAAATAGACGGAAAAAAAATACATCACTTTAACAATTTCTACACGTACAATCCAGTGAACATTCTTCAAGTTGTGCCATCTTTCTAGCCAACCTTGTCCAAACTCTTTTACCATCGTTCGCACAAACTCACTGCCTCTCTCGCTAAGCTTCTTATCTATCCTTTTGAGTTGCTGTTGTCAAATGGATCCCATATAGATAATTCTTTACGAGTATAATGCCTAATGCAGACATTCTTTTCTAATTAGGCTAAACTATTATTTGATTCAAAGATAACTTCAGGGGATAGCTTTGGTTCAAGATTTAAAGATTTCCTTGGGATAATATTTTCGGGGGTGGGGGAGAGGGAGGTCATCTAGCCTCCATGGTTTCAGAAAATCTGGAGTCCATAAGAATTTGAAATTCTGTTCCTCATTTCCCCCTTTTGATCAGGATTCTTCTATAGAATTTTTGATCTAAATGTTCAGTAATGGTGGCTAAGCACCATCCAATTCTTTGGGTCTCATGGCAAAGGAGGCAGTTATTCATGGAGGTGACTGGACAAGTATTCCGTTTCCTCCACTGTTTCCTGACCCTCCTTCTTCCTCCTCTGGTGCTCCCAGCAAACAGAGACCAATTTACACAATTTTCATAATAACAAAAAATAAATTTAAAGAGCCCTGTAACCTCTTGCCTGAAAGAGGTCAAGAAATAGTAGGAAAATAGCAGTGACAGTCATCCAGCTAAGTTCAGTAAGACTGAAGTATCTTTGAAGAACTAGCTCCCAGCTCATTGGCAAGCTTCAGGCTTGTGTTTTCAATTCTTTTCACTCACACGATGGACATCAAATTTGCTCTAATACCTGGTCCCTGGGAGGGCCAAATGGAGATGCCGCATTGAGTGGACCACAAAGGAGACTTCACAAGACAGATTCACTAGCATCCCAGCCAAACTACTAGACTAGCTCGATAAACCATGGTTATCTCCTTGGAAATGGAACAAAAGAGATCTGAAATATATCTTAGAACACAGGACGAGAATGCTAGAAGGAAAGCTGCTTGAAAGGCTTGGGGACATGAGGAAGAAGAGGACGTGGGCCTAGCTGACACATCTGGGGTGCTCTATGCGTTACGCCATTGAATAGACTGCAGGAGTGACTATTAACTGCATGGAGGTGTTTCCATCAGTAAGCCTTGTCGGGATACCTGTGTGTGTGTGCAGTGCAGAGAACTGAATTCCCTGTGCGAGTACCCACACCTGGGGTTCGTGTACACGTCTGTTTACAGCGGAGGCGGCCAGCGTGATCACAGAGGGTGTGCATGCACGTGTGTGTGCACCCGTGTTTGTGCGTGTGTTTAATCCAAGAGCAGTCCACATATCTTCTGTGTGACACGGGCACTGGTGATAGCAGGTCTCTTTGCAGGAATATTCTCTAGTTCCCAGGGAATATTCCACCCACGTCTTGGTAGATACGTATAAATGCCGATCCACCACTGTCTGTCAGTTTGTCGTACTGTCGTGGCTGGCGTGTTGCCGTGATGCTGGCAGGTATGCCATCAGTATTTCAAATACCAGCAGGGTCACCCATGGTGGACAGGTTTCAGCGGAGCTTCTAGACTAAGACAGACTAGGAAGAAATGCCTGGCAATCTGCTTTTGAAACTCAGCCGATGAAAACCCTACGGATCACCACGGAACACTGTCTGTCATAGTGCTGGAAGATGAGCCCCCTAGGTTGGAAGACACTCATAACAGACGGTGGCCACAGAAATACACTTGAGCATACCAATGATCCTGAGGATGGTGCAGGACTAGGCAATGTTTTGTTGTTGTTGTACGTGGAGTCACCCTGAGTCGTAGACAACTCGGTGGCAACTGACAACTATATAAATATAGCTAGTACCACACCTTCCAGATAGGGTATGTTCATCTCTCTTAACACAAATTGTAAATCCAAAATTACTGCCATGATGGCAATTGATTTCTCTCTTCGCAGCAGTAACTTTAAAGACTGAGCACTCGCTCTGCAGTCCTGGTAGAATCTTAAAATAGTACTCCAATTTCAAGCATTTGACCCGGTAGTCTAGAATGTTCTTGACCTTCTCACTTCTAGCAAGAAACAGCAGGCAATCCCGTTGTGACTGATCTTCAGTTAACAAGCCTTGAGGGAGCAAAGTAATCTTTCCTTTTCGAAGGAAAACTGAATCTAAAGTAAGGAAACGGGCAAACAGCATACAGCCACGCTAAAAATTAATTATACCTTTAATTTCATTTTTTAAATTAGGCTTCTTTGGGAAAATGTAGCTGCTTAAGGTTATAATCTATTTGTTGAAGTTTTCATAGCTGCCGAATAATTAATACTATATATAATTTTGAAAAGAAAAAAGCAAAGCTATCCATTCAAGCAAACTCTGAAGCCATTCTCACATTAACGTCATCTCTACATCATCTGGAAGCCCTGGTGGCGTAGTGGTTAAGAGCTCGGCTGCTAATCAAAAGGTCGGCAATTCGAATCCATCAGCTGCTCCTTGGAAACCGTAAGGGGCAGTTCTACTCTGTCCTAGAGGGTCGCTAGGCGTCAGCATCGACTCGACAGCAACAGGTTTGGTTTTTTTTGGTTGTTGTTGTCATTACCGACCTAAACGTCCTAAAGGTACTGACAAAGTTCAAATGTTTTTGGGCCTCGAAAATCAGTGAAAGTAATGTGCATTATTTTAAGAGACTCTTTTATTAAAAGAGTAAACTGGTCAGTCCCTGCCTGGTGCACGTGGTTAAGCGCTTGGCTGTTAAATGAAAGGTTAGAGCTTTAATTCCACCTGGAGATCTAGTTCTGAAAAACCAGCCATTGAAAACTCTCTGGAGCACAGTTCCACTCTGACACACACACAGGAGCTACAGTCAGCTCTAGGACAGCTGGTTTGGTTTCAGTAGAGTAAAGGGAATCACAACACACAACAGTATCAACCGAGCCCCTGGGCAGTGCCTCTGAGGCTGACCCAGGGGGAGAATTTTCTGAGAAGGTATCAAGACAAAAGGAGATGAGCCGTGCAAGGCTGCACTTAGCCTCAAGGTTCGATTCATCCATACTTGCGCCAGTGCACAGACGCAGTCCTGGGCACAGGGAGGGGCGCACCTGGCAGCAGAGAGGCCTGGGAGAACACTTGTCTCAGCTTCATCTGGCTCTCCTCCACCAGCTCCTCCTTGGACATTGGGAGCTGCAGGACTTGTATTATAATCTCCGCGGCATCCAACGCCTTTTTACCCATGACCAGGGACTTCACATCCCAGGAGTATTTCTTCCCATAGCGATCGCATATTTCTTGAAACACCATTGAATACAGCCGTTCAGTGTCTGCAGAGACAAAAGTGAAACGGAAACGGGGAGATGATTAAGGCGCACGCTACACCAAGTCCGTATCCGTTAGGCACAGACGTACACATTACGAGTCACATTTGCTGACAGAGGTGTTCACAAGCAGCTAAGTAAAAAGTGAAAAATCTGCAGGTAGTGCTTACTGACAGAGCCCCCGGCCCTCCTCTAAGTTTGCTCAAGTACAGCTAGGGTGGTGGGGTCTCAAGAGTTAGATATTAGGAGAGAAACGAAGTCTATATTGCTGTTAAACTATCTTTTATATAAACATCTACAGATTTGAAATATGTAGTTGAGACCACGGACACCCAGAGGCGTTGCTGGGTGCTGCGAGTTTGTTCCAACTGACAGTGACCCCATGTGACAGAGCAGAACTGCCCCACGTTTCTCTAGGCTGTAACCTCTATGGGAGATTACCAGGTCTTTTCTCCCGTGGAGCCACTGGGTGGGTTCGAACTGCCAACCCTTCAGTTAGCAGCCGAGTGCTCATCTGTTGCACCACCGGGGCTCCTCCCCTCAAGCGTTGGGTGAGGTCATCACCTGGTACTCCGAAGCACCTAAAAAGAGTACTACCCAGCACTGTCTCCATGCGTGTCCCCACTACCGTGAGGGACGCCGTGGATGAGCAGCAGCACGAATCCAATCCCCAAATGTGGAGAGGAAGCCAGTACCACCTTCCACCCTCTCCATCATTTACGTCACCAGCCACCCACAGGGCGCTCCCTCAGACCCTAGCAACCCGGGGCTAGGGCAGAGCTCACAGGTTAAAAGAACGACAACTCCAGAGAGTCTCGTACCTACTGTTCCTTGGACTGCCGAAAAGGAGATGCCAGCGGCAAGCTGGGGAGGCCACACAGCGTCCTTACTCTCATCCGCCAGCTTCCCCTTCTCCTTTGGGCTCAAAACTTGCTGGAACGACTCTACAGAACTCACAAAGAGCACTGTACTTACTGTTACAGATGTATTATAGCGAAGGATACAAATCAGCATCGTCACAGGAAGAGATGCACGGATGAGGTCTGGCAGGTTCCCAGCCAGCATGGAAGTGAGCAGAGAATGGGGGACCTCGTACCGCCATGAAAGTAGTGCCAGGAGCAGAGCGCATCCTTTGGACCCAGGGTCCCTATGCTGAGAAGCTCCTAGACCAGGGGAAGATTGATGACAAGGACCTTCCTCCAGAGCCGAGAGAAAGAGAAAGCCTTCCCCTGGAGCCGGCACCCTGAATGTGGACTTGTAGCCTCCCAGACTGTGGGAGAATGAATGTGTCTGTGTTAAAGCCACCCACGTGTGGTGTCTCTGTTAAAGCAGCACGAGATGACCGAGACAGACGGTATCACTGAGGATAGAAGGCTGTAGTAGAAGCACTGCCCTCAGCACGCCATCTGACGCACACGGCGTGCCTGACAAATGCTGCCAGCCATTGTCACTGTTCCCATCATGGACTCGGAAAGACCGGCTCGCCACAAACCCTACTGCCATCTAAGTGACCTGTGAGAAGGTACTACTGCCAAGGGAAAGCGACACATTCAAAATAGAGGACGGGCTACCAAATGCAATCATCTCCACACTGGGTGAGCCACCTGGGGCTGAGTGTTTCGGTGACAATTCGCCAAATGCCCAAAAGAAAGCAGAAACGCTCTGTCCTGAGGCCTAAGCAGGGCCCGTGTCATCCCCCGAGAAGCCCACGAGAGGAGGGGGCTGTCCAGGGGTGGTGTAAAAAGAAAGCACACACTCACTGGACCGGTTGAGACTGGAGGACTCCCCGAGACTACTGCCCTGAGATACTCTTCAAACCTTGAACAGAAACTAAACCCTGAGGTCACCTTGTTGCTAAACAGCAGACTGGCTCAAAAAATAAAGAACAGCGCCCATGAGTACCGTGCTCCTTTAAAAAATCACTTATATAAGGCCAGATTGTCAATAATGACTTCAAAACAAAGAACGAAGATGAGAAAGTAAGGGGGCAGGGAAACTAGATGACTGGAAATGGAACAACCAGAATGAAAATAAAGAGAATGTTCATGCTTTGTTAAGAATGTAATCAATGTCACTGAACAAGTCGCGCAGAAACTGTTGAATGGGAACCTAAACTGCCGTGTAAGCCTTCACCAAAAACACAATAAAATATTATTTAAAAAAAAAAAGAAGGAAAGCACCCAGACTTGATTGGAAAAATTTCAAATTAAAATTCTGTTACGCAATTGAATGAGGAGTTCTGATGGCGCAGTGGTGAAGCGCTCGGCTGCGAACCAAAAGGTTGGTGGTTGGAACCCACCAGCTGCTCCGTGGGAGAAAGATGTGGCAGTCTGCTTCTGTAAAGATTTACAGGCTTGGAAACCCTATGGGTCAGTTCTACTCTGTCCTAGAGGGTCACAGCGAGTCAGAATAGACTCAACGGCAAGGGGGTTTGGTTATGCCACTGTATGCCCTGTTCTAACTTTAGCACTGAAGCCTTCATATTAGGAGCCCCCGGGTGCCGTGGATGGTTAAGCGCTAGACTACTAGCCAAAAGGTTGTCAGTTCAAACCCACCCAAAGGCACTTTGGAAAACAGGGCTGGCGATCTGCTTCTGAAAGGTCACAGCCTTGAAAGCCCTATGGCGCAGTTCTACTCTGCACACGAGGGGACACTGTGATTGGAACTGACTCCCCAACAACTAACAACAATCAGTTATGGAGCAACATTATACTGAACTGGTATATAATGATGGGTCCTGAGCAGAGCTATGAGAGGTCAGTTGCTTTTATCTGCCATTTTTCCTCTTGTAAGATGGAAACATATACAGTATATAACACCGGTGCCTCATAGCGACCCTGCAGGACAGAGCAGAACTGCCCCATAGGGTTCACTGGTGCCTAGATACTACAATACCACTTCTTTTGCATATAAGATAATATCTGGGAAACCCGATACAAACTGAGGTAAATAAAACGTGGGCACGGAGGGGAGAAGGGAAAGGGCCGTGTGTGTTTAACTGTGAAGGTCACTTTATTTAAAAAGAGGGTCTTTGCAGACCTAGTGAGCTGAGTTCACATGAGGTCATAATGGATAGGGCAGGCCCCGATCTCTTTATGAAAACGTCTGTATAAGAAGAAAAGACAGAGACGTAGACAGCGAGACAGAGCCACGTGCAGACAAGGCCACGTGCAGACCAGGGCAGACACTGCAGTGATGCAGCCACAAGCCAAGGCTGCCTGGGGCCACCAGAAGCTGGAAGACACCAGGCAGGATCCTCCCGAGCCTCTGGAGGGAGCGCGGCCCTGCCCACACCCTGAATTAAGACATCTGGCCTCCGGAATGGGGAGAGCACGCGCTTCCGTTGTTCTGCGCTCCCCAGGGAGCGCAGGTAGCACAGTGGTTAAGAGCTCGGCTGCTAACCAAAAGGTCAGCTTTCGAATCCACCAGCTGCTCCTTTGGAAACCCTAGGGGGCAGTTCTACTCTGTCCTATAGGGCTGCTATGCGTCAGGTTTTTTTGGCAGGCCCCCATGGTGTGGCACTTGTTATGGCTGTCCTCGAAGCTAATACAGGCTAATACAGTTTTTTCTACAAAAGATACTGGAACTTTAAGAAAAGCCTTCCCAAGCTGCTTGTAGAAGGAACTGTATTTTGGGTGACCAGCTGAGTAACTGGGGTTTTCTGAAACCGCCCACACTGACTCTCCTTGAAGAAGTTAAATCCGAGAGGGAAGGGCTGCTGCCTTCCTCGGCTCGACAGCAGGGTGAGGCAAAGCCTTCGGTAACAGAGGTCACCCAGGAACGAGTTGCTGTTGTTGGGTGCAGTTGAGCGGATTCCAACTCGTCGTGACCCCAAGTGACAGAGCAGAACTGCCTCTTAGGGTTTCCTAGGCTATAATCTCTCTGCGAGAGAAAAGGCCTGGCAATCCCGTCCTGTAAAAATCACTGCCTGGGAGACCGTACGGGGTAGTTCTGCTTTGTCCTACAGGGTCGCTATGAGTCGGTATCAACTCCACGGCAGCCAGCAACCACGATGAGCTTTATGGGAGCCGATCGCTGGGTGGGTTCAAACCGTCGACCTTTTGGTTAGCAGCTGAGTGCTTAACCACTGCGCCGCCAGGGCTCCTTCCAGAAATGGGTGATCTCTGCACGATCGGGATCCCTGTGAGGGGGGAAAGGGTGAGGGGTCAGGGCAAGGAGAAGGGCAGACTGGGAGGGAGACAGTCCCTCTGACCTTCTTAACTTGAACATCTTTTTTCCAGTCCTTGAGAGAGGACAAGAGTGACAGAAAGAAACCCCAGCCCCCGCAGAGGGGGAACCACATCGCTGAAAGCAATAACCCGCGTGCCGGGGGCAAGCGCCAGAGGAAGACGGGAAGGAAGGAGGCGGTGCCAGGGCCTCGGCGGAAACGAGGTACAAGGAAGGAGAAAGGCCTTTGATGAAACACCAATCCCGAAGCCAGAAAAAGTGCTGTATCCTTTTAAAGTGCTTCAAATCATGTTTAGTTAAAGCTTAACCAGGGCTGGAGTACTCAACAAGCAAGATACGCACAGACTTAACTTGAGGTGCTTACGAATCCGTACTGAACAATTTCACCTGTTTTTCGTCACACCAAAGATGTGGGAAACTCACGGGAAATTATTCGCTACAGATGAGTAAGTAAACACAAGTTAGCCCGTGCATACCTTGCTTAATGGAAACCGGTGTATACCATGCATACTGGTTAATCCACCCCTGCTTAAAGCCCTCAGAGCTTTTAATTTAAAAGATATGGGAAAGCAGGATTATAAATCCGTAGGGACTTCACAGACAGTGGCTTTCCTTAACAATTCGGATCAAACTGTCCCCAGTTCTCTATGGGATAAGGAAGGCGCTAAACAAGTAATTCAACTCCTCAGATGAAATGGTGACTTCGCCAGCTGACAACAGCACACCTAGATAGAGAGACAGCTTTCCAAAATGAAGATGTTCTCCAGAAGCAAAGGCTAAGGGCACAACGCGGCAGTGCCAAGCCACGAAATGCCTAT